GCCAGTATTACATAAAGTCCCTTTAAAACGTCCGTTTGAGCTTTGCATACATTCGTATTTTTTAAAAGGTAAGCATACCCTGTTTTAGAAGCTTGTCAGGACAGGATAATGCAGAGTGCATGATCACCATTTTAGGATAATAATAATCTTAGAACTATGGAGGAGGAAGGAACCCTTTGAATCATCGAGTCTAGCTCCTCTCAAGGAGACATTGCAGCTGGCCAAGAAAAGAAATGATGGACACAAACCCAGACCTTTCTTGATCCAAAGGTGTCAGTCCCCCTGTTTCTTCAGCACTGGGGTATTTCCCCTTAAACTGGAAGAGGCCAGGCCTATCAAACAAAAATTATCTTGGTGCTTCCGCCTGAGTCCCCTGTTCAAGGTAAATAATGGAGAAATAGCTCTCCATCAGTCATGGGCAGAGTTTACAGAAGGTCCTCTTTGGATGTCGGCTGCCAGGATCCCCTGCCAGCATGGCCACCTCCATCCTCAAGCTAGCCGGGTGGAAGGGTCACTTGGGGGGTGGGGGTGGGTGAGGGGAGAGCCTGCACATTCCAGTCCTAAAGCAGATAAGTCCCCAAGTTCTGGGGACCCAGCCTTGTCACAGTTTGGAAGCAACCCTGTGTGACCTCCAGCATGTGGACAATGACCTTGCTTTGCCTTCAGTTCTCTCTCTCTCACACACACAGACACAGACACAGACACACAGACACACACACACACACACATATCTGGCCGGAGACTCCTCACCAAACCCTTCTGTTGTGTGCACATTGTCTAGGCATGGAGGAGATTGTTCTGTTCTGAGGCAGCAAAGCCACACGTAAATCATACAAGGGATTTTCCATCCCCATCCATGTGTGTTCATGCACAAACACACACACACACACACACATTCTCCAGGCAACCAGCTTCTAATAACAGTTTACAATTCCGCAAGTGCACACACAATAAGCACATGCCCTCTCAATTCAGCCAAGCGGCTTGAAAACTTGTCAGCAAGAACAACCACTGGATTCAAGTGGCAGATTTATGCCAGTGCGAAAATATACGCCAAGTCCTGGCCACAAAGTGCTTTTGGTTTCACAAATACCACACACACACATTCACACCCTTTCCAATAACTTGGCAAACCTCCCCACCCCCCTTCACCTTCGTCCAGACTTTCCCCTTTTATAGTGTTTGAACAGGACTTTTTAATTCTCCCTCTCCACCCGCTTCTGTCTCACTTAGTGAAATATATAAGGTAATAACCTTTTTTGTTGAACTGACTCCCCCTCTACTTATCCCATCTATTTGGGGAGATTTAACATGAAGAAGGAATAGCCTCCACATATGTAAACACTGACACAGAGGCAGACCACAGCTTGGGGAAATTGATGCCTCTAATACTTGCTCCTACTGCTCTCACAGTCCCCAGGGCCAGCATGGCTGGGGGCTTCTAATATATATAACCCACACCATAACATTTCCATCTGCTCACATACACAAATGCTGTTATCGCTTCTCACTTATGCATGGAAAGGCAGATTTGGTCAGCAGACTGAGACTTTCAACAGAGCCAGCCCCTGGCCTACTTGGTCAGCAGATATGGGAAGGGAGGAAGGACCAGAAAGGGTTGGCTATTGCTTTGTTTCACTCCAGTAACACCTGGAGGGGCTATTCATTTCCTCTACTCACCATAGAGTGTAGCTGATCCCTTATAGCTTGGCCAAATTCTGAATCTAAATCCATCGCTCCCCAACTTAAACACTTCCCTGCCTATAATAAAACATTCTGTCAGGGAAAAAGTTCACGAAATCTTTCCCCGGGCCATTGATCTGTTATTTACGAGAAGTTGGTCCCAGATGTAGTGTCCTTTAGAGCAAACCCATTAAATTACATAGGATGCCAGTCCAATTGTTTGCAATATACCTACTCACAGCGATGTCTGCGTTGGCTTGGGCATGTTGTAAGAATGGCTGATGGTCGGATTCCAAAAGATCTCCTGTACGGAGAATTAGTGCAGGGAAATCACCCCAGAGGGAGACCCCAGCTGCGATACAAGGATATCTGCAAGCGGGATCTGAAGACCTTAGGAATGGACCTCAACAGATGGAAAACCCTGACATCGGAGCGTTCAGCCTGGAGGCAGGCAGTGCTTCACGGCCTCTCCCAATTTGAAGAGACCCTTGGCCAGCAGGCTGAGGCCAAGAGGCAGTCCCAGAAGCAGCAAAACCAGGGAGCTGGACAGGGGACAGATTGTATTTGTCTTCAGTGTGGAACGGATGGTCCCTCTCGAATTGGCCTTTTCAGCCGCACTAGACGCTGTTCCAAGTTCTCCATACAGAGCATGTTACCATAGTCTTTCGAGACTGAAGGATGCCTAATCAATCAAGACTCAGATTAAAACAGGAAATCAGCCTATTGAGATTGCCTCTATCTGGAGAATTTTTTTAAAAAACCACACATCTACACAGAGGAGCATTCATAAATGTAATCAGTGTTGCGATTTTCAGTCTGTAGCATGCATAAATGAGCTCTTATTTTTATGCATAGCCTCCCTTATTGTTGTTATTATTGTTATATAGTGCACTGTCCACACATTTAGCCGTACATGGCCATAACCTGCAAAATGAGTAGCTGGAAGATGCAAACTGAGGACGGCAGCAGCAGGAAAGTTCTGAACCCTGGAAGGTCAGACCAATCCAAGAGGGAGCTTTCTCACACAGACACATGTGTGCGCACAGCCACCCAGCCTCTCAGACTCCCATGCATTCTCAGACACAGACACTCTCTCACATCCCTTCTCAATTTATGGTGGTTGTCCAAGTGGAAAAAACAGCTGGGTAATCAAATACAGCAGAAGATTTAAGGCCAAAGGGGGCTGGAAGACAACCGTCTAGTAGCAGCAGCAGCAGCAGCGAGCAACCGAGCTTCTCCAAACATGGTAGTCCTGTGGCTGTCCGCCAGCACCAAGAAGATTTGCACCTGGTCATGATAAACATCCATGCAAGAGATATTGGAGAGATGCAGAGGAAAGAGCTCATCCCTACAACCTCTTCCAGGGAAAAAAACTGGAGCAAGAGACAAACTCATCATTCCAGTGCTACCCTCCGCAGGTCACAGAGATGCACGGTGAACCCTGGAACTCTGCTCAGGTATCAGAGGCTGACAGGAACCAGTTGCATCACAAGTCATGTATTTACCTGTAACTAGTTACTAGATGCAAAGAGAGGAAAGAGCTCATCCCTACAACCTCTTCCAGGGAAAAAAACTGGAGCAAGAGACAAACTCATCATTCCAGTGCTACCCTCCGCAGGTCACAGAGATGCACGGTGAACCCTGGAACTCTGCTCAGGTATCAGAGGCTGACAGGAACCAGTTGCATCACAAGTCATGTATTTACCTGTAACTAGTTACTAGACGCAAGGGGCGTGGTGGCGCTGTGGCTTAAACCGCAGAAGCCTCTGTACTGCAAGGTCAGAAGACCTGCAGTTGTAAGATTGAATCCACGTGACAGAATGAGCTCCCATCGCTTGTCCCAGCTCCTGCCAACCTAGCAGTTCGAAAGCATGTAAATGCGAGTAGATGAATACGTAGGTACCACCATGATGGGAAGGTAATGTTGTTCCATGTCTAGTCACACTGACCACGTGACCACAGAAACTGTCTTCGGGCAAACACTGGCTCTACGGCTTGGAGACTGGGACGAGCACCGCTCCCTAGAGTCAGACGCGACTGGACTAAATGTCAAGGAGAACCTTTACCTAGTTACTAGAAATCTCCCCTAAATGTCAAGGGGAACTTTTACCTAGTTACTAGAAATCTCCCCAGAAAACACTTAATGTTGGGAAAGTGTGAAGGCAAGAGGAGAAGGGGATGACAGAGGACGAGATGGTTGGACAGTGTCACCAAAACAACCAACATGAATTTGACCCAACTCCAGGAGGCAGTGGAAGACAGGAGGGCCTGGTGTGCTCTGATCCATGGGGTCATGAAGAGTCGGACACGACTTAACGACTAAACAACAACAAACAACAAAGTTAGTTTTGGGACTAATGCTTTCCAGTACTAAGGTAACTAGGAGACACAAGGTGATGCTTCCGTACAACAGGCAATGTTTTCTATTTTCTTACTTTCAAAAGTCACCTTTAAAATCACTTAAAGGCATTTTTCTTGATAGGCTTTTTTCAAATTTCATGCCGTCCTCTTACCAGTCTGAAGAGGCAGGAAATGTCTTGTTCTATTTAGTCTTTTGCATTTTTCCTAACAGTATTAAAAATGTGTGATCAGGACTGGCCCCTGGAGAGCACCGGTGAGTAAGAGCAAAGGAAAGTGGGCTGCTTATATACCGCTCCATAGCACTTCAAGCACTCTGGATGGTTTACAAATTAATTATGCAGGCTACACAGTAGGACAGAAGTCCAAGAATTCTTGGACTTCCACTCCCACTGCACTATGGGAGTCCCAAGGATGTCTGCTATTCGTGAAGGTGCATGGAAGGACCAACCCTGACACACTTTTAACTATACAGAAGCATCCTCCAGCAGAACTACCTGTGCTACAAAAATGTGCCCTTTGGGTCTGACTTATTTTAAGAGGAAGCTAAAATCTCTTTAAGGTAAGGCTCATCTCATTTCAAGGTTCCTTCCTTCCTTTTTCTTACACACACACACACGGGGGGGGTACCTGCACATGCATAAACACAACACACCACCCCTTTTGGGGAAACTAGCTTCAGTTTGAAATCTTTGTATAGGTCCATGTGGCTAATCTGGCGCATTTGTGGTTCTTCAAGGGGAAGAAGTGATGATCAACACTCAACTCACAATTTCAGGTCAAGGAAACACATAGGTGTAGGAAATACACAAAGATCACCACCACGACAAGGCAAACCGAAACATGAAAGTTCACCAAGAGTCTTACTCTGGAGATGCACTCCCATTGTTATGTTTTCTCCTGTCTCCACTCCCTCCCTCCCTCCCTCCCCCACCCCACTTCTGAAGGATCTGCTTTTTTGTGCGCCAATAAGTGCTGGCAGGCGTGTGCTGAAATGTACTCTCCGTGGCTATTAAAACCATCTGCTCACTCCAGATGTTTAGTCCTCCTGCGGTTTGTGAAAAATCTCAGGACAGCAGGCTCTTCGTTGGCTGTGTTGTACACTCGCTGCTTTGAGTGGCTGCCCAAGGGAGGCAAGGGAAGGAGAGAGAGAGAGAAGGAGACAAGACTCAGTCTGATAAGCTGCTAGGAGATGATGATGATGATGATGATGATGATGATGATGATGATGATGATGATGATGATTGCAACATATATTATTATTGCAACAACAGTAATAGTAGTAGTAGTAGCGGCGGTGGTGGTGATGGTGGTAGTATTGCAACTCATACTGTATTAAAACTGCTACTGCATAGGGTTTTCTTCAACATACACACTACGCGCACAACAAAATAAATATAACAATGAGCATGTCAAAAATCATGCTTCAATAAAATATATTTGATTTTTATCCACTTTTATCCATTTGTCTTCATCTCTCGATTTCTGCACAATAAACACCTGGGGGGGCATAAGGAGAGAAGTCTTAAGAGACCCTTTTGACATGTCCGGATGCACTTTTTTGTGATGTCACAGGAGCCAGACAGGCAGATGCTCAGAACGGGGGGCACAGACCTGCTGGTGGGCCACCTGATTGGGAAAATGGATACAAGGGAGATTCTGGTACTCTGCACAGCATTACCTACAATGCACACGAAAGGTGAAGGCCACAAGGGTTTTCTCCCCTCCTATTTTGGCACGCCATCATTCACTGAATCATAACATATGTACAAATAGCTGACCTGAGAGATACCCGGAAACCTGACAATACTAGTTCCTCACTCAGGCCAACTGCCTGACAGTAGGGCTGGCTACAATTTGGTGGACCTGAGAGCCACACAAGGGGAAACACGTATCTCTGTTCTCCATCCCACGTTCTCCATCTCACGAAGAAGATTCCTAAGCCACCTTACTCAAATAAGGCTCTGTTTAGGTAAACTTGTTTTCATCGTCTGCCTTTCAAAAACATGTTCCATCACTGAGACTCTATGCCTGGTTTTTCCAGTCCTTCTCCTTTACAATAAACAAAGGGCAGACAGAATGTGGTCCAGGGGAATACGTGAGCCAGAATCCCTTCCATATGCTCCTCAATAATGAATGGTAACCATATGGAGACTCTCTCAGACCTCCTCTCTCCAACAGAGAAAAGGATTTGCAAGAAAACATTGAGATGGTGTGGAGACTCTCTCAGACCTCCTCTCTCCAACAAAGGATTTGCAAGAAAACATTGAGACGGTGTACAAAGGAGGGCAATCCTGGCATGATCGGGAAGCTGGCAGGCTGTGCCTCTGTGCTTGTGTGCCCAGAAAACGCCACCGGCTTAAACCGGCTCAACCACAACATAGTTGAGTCTCAAGAAGTTAAGGGGAGTTGAAGCATGACTTTCTTTATCATTCACATCTCAGATAAATAAATAAGAGTGTCATGTAAATCCTATCCAGAATGTAACCCATTACATCACCAGTGCTTATTCAGTAACCTATGTTTTCATGGTTGCATTGGGCAAGAATAAAGGTGATTTTCCAGCACAATGAGAATCTTGGGTTTTCCTTGTCATTGTTGTCGTTACTGTCTTCTTCTTCTTCTTCTTCTTCTTCTTCTTCTTCTTTACATTTCTACCCCCACTTTTCCTATGAAAGTTCAAGGTGACTTAAAACATAATTTTTAAAAAATAAGTGTTCTTCTTCTTCTTCTTCTTCTTCATTACATTTCTACCCCCATTTTTCCTATGAAAGTTCAAGGTGGCTTAAAACATAATTTTTAAAAAAATAAGTAAAAAAACCTCCAGCCCTAAAATCAATGAAATAAAGCAAAATCAAGACTGTAAAAACCTTTTGGCCATGAAAATGCTGGTAAAACTAAACCTTTGACATCTCACATACCTTGAATACCCTATTATGGTTGCTGTAAATTCGATGTGACTTGATGGCACATGGGAAATGTAGTCAGTATTTGAACATTTGTTATTGGTGTTAATAATGCTACTGTCACTTCAGAGATCATTACCAGTGTCATGCTCACTCTTTTATTTTCCCCTCGCTTACTTCCGACTCCATGGCCCTAATGATTAAGCTCTATATCTCTTAGAAAGGGAAATGTGATTTGGAACCATACACTGCCAAAAAAAACCCACCACACCCTACTCTTTAAGGTGGCTGTGGCATTTACCCCGTGGCCCCTGCTTGTTTCACCAAACACCAAGCTCACATGAGTATACCAACACACCCTTTAACACGCTGACACCAGTTGGTCTCTTTATCAACCTATGTTGTTTCGTTGTTGTTTAGTCATTAAGTCATGTCCAACTCTTCGTGACCCCATGGACCAGAGCACCCCAGGCCCTCCTGTCTTCCACTGCCTCCCGGAGTCCTTCCTCTTCAAGAGCTGTCATGCATCTTTCTGGCCCAACTGTAGGGCATGCATTCTTTTTAGCAGAGAGAGAAAGTGGAGAGAGAATCAGAAAAGAGAAGCCGGGAGAGGGGATTGGAGAAAATAGAATGGCACGGACAGAGGGAGAGAGGAGAGACAAAAATATTCACTTCCTCTGAGCCTCCACATACGATCAGGGGAAGTGCTTAATTGACAGCGGATGGAGCTATCAGGGGGTCATTTGCTGCTTGGATAGGAGAATCACACCAAATCGCACTTCACTTTTCTCACCCCAGACCTTTAAATCAAATAAATCAATAAATAAATAAATTCACTTTTCTCACCCCAGACCTCGACAGACCCTTTCTGGCCCAATCCAGCCCACACTCAAAATGGGCAGTCTGGACAGGCCCAACAGTCTATCACGCTTACTTTTTAAACTGCTACGTATCCATGTTGTCATCCGTTGAGGAAAGCTTCCAGAACCTACATGCGTTAGGCGTCTGCAACGGAAATAAAGCCACATTACCTGCCAGTCAACCAATTATAAAACAAAAACAAGCTAATTGCCCAAACAGGGATTGAGGCAAGCTCTATGTTCGAATAAACAGACCGTCTGCTGCTAGATGCAGAATCAGAGTCCATAGCCCTGACTAATGGAAGAGCTTCCAACGTAACATTATCATAACCTCTTTCTTTGAAAAGCCAAAGCATGACATATCTGATTCTTATGCCTTCGATGCCAATTCGGCTTTGTTTTGTCTGGTTGCCTTAAATGTTTCTGGTTGAATTACTCGCCTTTGGCCTCTTTTCTTTTATTGTCCTTCTTAACCTCCCCAGATTCACATCATGACAGGAACAGCCTTCTTGACTTTTACTGTAAGTCAAGGAGTACACAAGAATTTTTGCATTCGATACGGTCGAACTTGCCAACGATAATCTGCCGTCTGGAGGAAAACAGCAAGTTATCCAAAAGCCCCAGGATAGCAACCTTGTGCCACAAAACATATCTCGCTGGGTTCGGTCCAATCTGAGAAGCACCACGCCAGCGGCTGCTGGAGTCACAGACTAACTAGGAAATGAGACATTAGGAGCCTGTCTTATTCAGCAGGTTGCATGCATTGCCTCCTGAGCCCCAATGCTCTCTACTCTCCCCATCAACTGCTCATCAGGGATACAGACAGAGAAAGGCATTTTTCCTCCCATCTGCTACCTGATCTTTCTGAATGAAGATGCTGAGGACCTGGCCTATTATTATTTGGGACATCCTCCAGCTTTGAAGGAGGGGCGACCAAATTCTGGAGGATCCTCATTGATGGAAGACTTGTTTGCTTGCATCTGGGGCACATCAAACTCTGTATGATTTTCTGCATGGAATCCAACGCTGATTTCCCATGTGTCTGGATCCTGCCAGTTCGACACAGCCTGGCCTCCTGATGAAATCACTGAATTGGCTTCTGCTCTGCCTGAAAAAAAATAAAAAGAAAGAGATAGAAAGAGAAAGAAGGAAAAGCTTCCTTTTGTCTATCCAGAGGATGCTGATTCTCTATCACGGAAGGGCCTGTGCCAGCCCTTTCTGGTTTCGCACCCAAATAAGCTGGTATGAGGCTGTTTGGTTCTTTGCATTTTGAATTGAGATGTAGCTCTCAAGGATTTTCTAACACTTAAAAATGGTCAGGAAATGGAGAGAGAAGGAGAACGAAAGACAACCCTATCCTTGCCTTTGGTGAACTTTAGAATGTGAGTTTTGGAAAGGTCAAACCTACAATAACATTACAAAGGAGTATTTAAAGGTCCAAGATACATGATAATGCTGGGGATGTGTAGGTTGTAATTGCTGGTGATAGCACTGGAGAAAGATGATTTGTCTTTTTAAAATAAAGATAATATATATAGCTGCACATCAACACACAGAATCAAATCAAAATACAGTACAAAATACCTTGAGTTTGAGAGTCGGGCCAGCATGATACCATGGCTGCCAGATGTGTCAGGCAACAATTCCCAGATACGTTGCGCAATAACAAGTTGGGCATGCACAGTGGCTTGAAGGTCACTGGTGAGCGATCCTTTCCAAGGACTGTGGAGAGACTCACAGTGACCTCTCTTAAGACCATTTCTATGTTGGTTCCTTTAAGTTTCTGCTACATTCCTCATTCCCTCTCTCCCTGCAGGTGTAGACATGCCTGTCTTCTAAGGCTATTATACTCCATACATCTCTGAAGACACAGGTTGCAGTTCACAAAAACTTAAACCCAATAAACCCTGTTAGCCTTTAAGGCACCACACAATGTGGTATTGATTATGCTACATGCCATATAACTGTGTTTAATTCTAGGAGAGGTAGTCCAAAAAAAAAAAAAAACCCAAAATCTCTGGCTTTAACATAGGCTTCTTGGGTCAAATATTCTAATCCCATGTTCATCAGACCAAAGAATGCAGATATTTGCCATGCTCATTCCAGGCAAACCTTATAATGTGCAATCATACCACGTAGAGAATTTTATAGGGATCCTGGCCTTGATGTCTTCTGTGCATAATCTTTTCACATTTCCTCACTCATTTTTTTTCTCTGCAGATCATGTTATGATGGGAAATATGGAAGACATACATCAAGATGAAGCAACATGTGGTCATCCATACGTTCTTGGACTACATCTCCCAGAAACCTTCACCAGCTTAGCCAATGGCAAGTGATAATATGAGATGCAGTCCAGCCACATCTGGAGGGCTACAGTTACCCCCCCTCCCGCTGCATAGTGTCTTTTAATCAGGAGGAGCTATTCAACTGGAACTTGAAGATAGTGGACAGGATTCTTACTTAATAGCTAAGCAGGACGTTACTTAATTAAATCAAGCATTGCTTAATACACCAAATGTGAAAATGTCAGGGAGGTTGGCAAGTCTTTGAGCAAGCGATGGGCGCTCACTCCGTTGCATGGATTCGATCTTATGACTGCTTGGTCTTCTGACCCTGCAGCACAGGCTTCTGTGGTTTAGCCCACAGCGCCACCACGTCCCTACAGTGCCACCACGTCACCAGCTTAGCCAATGGTGATAATATGAGACGCAGTCCAGCCACATCTGGAGGACTACAGTTACCCACCCTCCCGCTGCATAGTGTCTTTTAATCAGGAGGAGCTATTCAACTGGAACTTGAAGATAGTGGACAGGATTCTTACTTAATAGCTAAGCAGGACATTACTTAATTAAATCAAGCATTGCTTAATGCACCAAATGTGAAAATGTCAGGGAGGTTGGCAAGTCTTTGAGTCCTCAAGTCCCAAGTCCGATTCCAAATCTAAAGCCCCAAGTGCATCATCATCCTCAAGGTCCATTGGGCGGCAAGTGTTCTCCAATGAACTCAATTGTTCGCAACATTTTCAGCATCGTCCCAAGGAACTTTCATCATTTTGAGGTCTTCCTTGAGTGTTTGACATCACGTTTTTCAAGGCCAGACCTATTTTCTCTTTCCTCCAAGAAATATCCACCATAATGCAGTTTTCAGGTGCAGATCTTCGGCCCTGCATAAGATGTGGCCAGAAAATAGCATTCGACGTTTGTTCACAGCTGTCAACAGATGTTTTGAGTCTGATCTTTGTAGTACTTCTTCATTAGTGATATGATCACGATATGAGACGTAGAGAACTTTTCTAAGGCAACGTTGTTGGAAAACATTTAACCACTTAGTTGCCTTGGTTGTGCATAACAATACTCTTTAAAGAATTTTTGTCTTTGTGGAGATACCTATGGCTGCTATGGACCAAACTGAGCACATGCGCCGAAATACAGCCAGTAGTTGATATCCTTCTCTGTGCCCCTGTCAGCAGTCCCTATTAAAAAGAAGCTTTTTTTCCCATGAAAAAAAAAGGAGGGGTGGGGGTTCCAAGTTGCAAGTGAAGTCCAAGTCATTGGGAGGGGGGGAACCCGAGTTGAATCTGAGTCAGGTATGACTTAAGTCTGACTTGACAGCAAGTCCTGAGTCTCAAGTCCCAAGACCTGGAAAATGTTACCTGTTTTTGTATTATACCTAACAGTACCTTGGTCAATATGACCAGTGGGACTTGTAGCTCTTGGGAAAGTAACTTTTTCCAACCTGCACCTAGTAGTAGACAAGACTGGGTTAGACAGATGGCCTAATAGAAAGCAATGTCTCACATCTCCTGTAATTCTTGTCTCAAAGGAGACTCAAAAAAAGATCACAGGAGGGCTGCTCCCTTCTATGAACCAGCCCGAGTCATTTTATTATTATTACAAACGGGGGCGGTTATTATCTTAATAAAATGCATAATTTTGGCACTACACATTTATTGAGGTTTAGCAGCTGTATCGGATCTGCCGGATTATATTTTGGTTAATCCTCAGCGAAACCATTTTATTTCGTCAGTTGATATTTATTAAACCTATAACAAGTGTGCTCATGAATCTATTAAAGGCATATGTGGAGGCCTTCATTTGAAGCATTACCCCCACCCCACCCCCACCCTCCAAAAAAAAAAAAATTAAAACAGAAAAAAAGGGTGACTTCTGAGTTCATGCAATCCTAGTTAAACATTTTGGAAGCCAAACTCAGCCCACGGCCAAAGCAAACTGTCATATAAACTTCATGCCAGATGTCCCACATGGGGTATAATAAAATTCCAAAGAAAATAAGTTGGAAGGAAGCAGCTGAGCTGCTCTGGACCCAGTGCAACCTGTAGATCTGGGCTTTGATTCTCGGTAGGAACACAGACTTTCCCCTGTGGATTAGACTTGAACTCTGTTTGCTTAACAATTCTTCCCATTTATTAGGCTTCTTTTGGGGGGGGTGAATGGAAAGGAGATCTTGCAGGAGCGGTTGAGGAAATAGGAGTCTCAGCTTTCCCCTGAAATTGCCGGCAAAGGGAGCTTTCCTTCATCCCTAGAGTGCCCCCAAATGACCAAGTCTAGTATTGAATCCTCCCACCCCCCTGAAAAAGCACAGCGTTGTACTAGGTAAATGACACGTTATAAGTAACAAGGCTCCCTGTCATGTAAAACATTTTGAAGTGACAAAGTGGCAGCATCTTTTCAAAATCACACAATGTCTGGAATCCAATTGAGTCCCAACTAGAGTAAGCCCACTGAATCGGTGGAGATTTGGTGAGTCATCTCTTTTTGAAACCTTGCATGCTGCCTTTAGTAGGTTTGCCTGGAAGGGACCTTTCCAGGTGACTGTCAATTTGTCCAACAATAACTAATCATTTCTTCCCTGCTTTTGATTTCAAAGAGATCCCTACTTTTCTGCTGAGAGTTTCCCCCACCTTTTCTTTAGTCTGTTGCCAGCAGTAGTCTGTTGTTGAAAGACAGTCATGCTTGTCAGTTTGCTGTTTAATCTGTCCAACTGTAAGTAACTAAACATTTTATTCTTTCTCTTACCAGTGTCTCAGAGTGGATTACTGAGACGGTAAGAACCTGCTACTGAGAAAAGGATTGGACTACTCTGGGAAAGTTAAAGCTATTCTGCTCTGTGGATCCCTGCACTTCTGCTATGCAGTTAGAGAAACTTAACCAAAAATTCAGCACTCTTCAATAAACTTCTCTGTCAGTTCCATTGGTCTGCTTGTGGCTTATGACTGGCTTTCAGCCCATGTGTAGTCACAGTCTTGGTTGTTATAGTTTTGTTTTGTTTTGTTTGTTTTTAATAGGCAGCAAGTAGTTTTGTTTTGTTTTGTTTTGTTTTTAATAGGCAGCAAGTGTCATGGACTCGCTACTTCCATCAAGTTGTTTTGGGCAGTCATGGAAGAATGGATTTTTGCCCCCATGGCCATTTTTGTGGCAACAAATGAACAAATTACTAAACACACTATTCTGAACATAGGGATTAGCAGCAGTGAGTTACTCTTCTAAGAGGAACAGCTAAAGAACCTGTTGCTAGCCTATTAGGTTTCTGTTGTTTCCCATTATTATTTTTTTCAAAATGTATTTGCCATGCAAAAAAATGACCTCCCCACAAGGAAAAGGTTAGATGTTGTGGGTCAGTTAACAAAATTCCCCACCGAATCGCTACTCTGAAATGCTGCTCTCAGCTCTGAGTAACCAGAGAAGAGTGGGGGTGAAAATGCATTTGATGAGAGGCACCGAGTGGCCATTCGAATTGGCATCTTTCCATCCATTGCCTAATGCTGCCGTGATACTTTCCTTATATCAGTGGTTCCAGATCTTGCGTCACCCAAGTGTTCTCGGACTGCAACTCCCAGAAGCCTTCGCCATCAGCTGTGCCGGCTGGGTTTTCTGGGACTTGCAGTCCAAGAACGCCTGGGTTACCCAAGGCTGGGAACCTCTTCCCCATATCATTGAGCACCTGGGTTACCAAAGGCTGGGAACCACTTCCCCATATCATTGCATGCCACCCTGATGGGGGCCCTCCCTGCCAACATTTCGCATATTTGCCTGGGAAGATAACTAGTCTTGATGGATGCCCTACCCCTGCTGGACGAATTTCCATCAAAGAATGGGCCAGAATCCCTGATGTTAAACAATATGAATGGGTAGCCTTTGTTTTGTGACCATGAGACAGATCAAAGGACCCAGGGCCCTAAAGGGATATGGCAATCAAGCTTTCTGTTCAGGATGAGGATGCCCCCTCTTCCAGGTGGGTCGGGAGCCTGGCTCTGGGAAACACAGATGCCAAAAAGTACAGGTTCAGCTGGTCATCAGACATCGATCAGTAAGGTAAAGGTTCCCCTTGACATTTAGTCCAGTCCTGTCTAGGGCGCGGTGCACATCCCCATTTCGAAGCCGTAGAGCCAGCGTTTGTCCAAAGACAGTTTCCGTGGTCACATAGCCAGCGTGACTAGACACGGAGTGCCATTACCTTCCCACTGAGGTGGTACCTATTTATTGACTCGTATTTTACATGCTTTCGAACAGCTGGGTTGGCAGGAGCTGGGACAAGGGATGGGAGCTCCCTCCGTTGCGTGGATTCAATATTACGACGGCTGGTCTTCTTGACCCTGCAGCACAGAGGCTTCTGTGGCTTAACCTGCAGCGCCACCACATCTCCTTTCGATCAGTACCTACTTGATTGATAGGCATTAGTCAAACAAGCAGATAAATTCCATAATGAGATCAGAAGGTGCACAGTTAAAAGCCAGCTGTTCTATCGAGTGATGCAACTTTATCACTGTAACCTCTCCCAGTCTCGTTTACCTCTCAATTCACTTTTCCCATAATGCTGGGCCAAGGACCAGCTAGTGCCACTGGCAAGTGGATCTCACAGCTGTTCTTGTGAGCACAGAGTTTTAAAATGCTCAGAATTTCAAAAACTTTGGATCCAATGGTACAACAAGAACAATGAGAATAGTATTGTGAGGTTGTGGGGGAGGGCATTGTTCCCTTCTTAGATTGTATGGGAAAGCACACTTTGCATTTAACTTTAGTCTGAATATCCGGAAAAACTTCTTAGCTGTCAGAGCAGTAGGACAATGGAACCAATCAACCTGGGAGGTGGTAAGTGCTCCGACACTGGAGGCCTTCAAGAGAAAATTGGACCACCGTCTGTCAGATCTGCTTTGATTTGGATTCCTGCCTTGAGCAGGGGTTGGACTTGATGGCCTTATAGGTCCCTTCCAACTCAATGATTCTATAGACCTTTGCAGGGCATCCCATTCCCACTAGAGCCCATCCAGTTCCATTACTTCCTTGCTACAATATTGGAGCCCACTAAATGTCCCCACAGAACTTTACTTGGGTGGGGGAAAAGCAGCTACAGTGATAGCTTGTGCAATGTCCACCCTCATCCTCCTCACTCTGTCCTTTCAGTGTCACCCTCCAGTTGAAAAAAGTCTCCTTCAGAAAAACAATGGGAGTGACATTTGAAGGGGTGCCAATTGTGAACCTCGTGCTTCTTTAAATGACAGGGATTTCCTCCATCCCCACACTGGGACTTGGGTCTCTCTAGAGATCCAGTGCCTTCAACTTAAATACACATTTCCTAATATCCCAGGTTTTGCAGTGCCGCCCCAAAGAACTTTACTTGGGTGGGGAAAAAGCAGCTACAGTGATAGCTGGTGCATGTCCACCCTCACCCTCTTCACTCTGTCCTTTCAGCGTCACCCTCCAGTTGCAAAAAGTCTCCTTCAGAAAAACAATGGGAGTGACATTTGAAAGGGTGCCCATTGTGAACCTCATGCTTCTTTAAATGACATGGATTTCCTCCATCCTGCAGTCTCTGTCCAGACCAGGACTTGGGTCTCTCTAGAGATCCACTGCCTTCAACTTAAATACACATTTCCTAATATCCCAGGTTTTGCAGTGCCGGGTCTGACAAAGAGTTGTAAAGAATCCGTTGCTTCTTCTCTTATATTTTAGTGGACCTGACAAAAGTATTCCCCCTGCTCTCATACAATAGGCTCTCACTGGCCAAGCAGTGAAATACCGATTGGCTAAGATCCCACCAAAAGACTTTCATCTTGGCCAGAATCATAAATGAAACAGAAACAATTATTCTGACTCAATGAGAAGGACTGTGAGGTTGATTTCCATGGAAATGGCCTGCATGTAACAGATGACATTGCCTCACCCTTTCCCTCTTCCATTGCTGGGTTATTTCCTATGTTCCTACTCTCCATGCCTTTCCTGTGGTTAACGTTAAGCTCATGAACTTCTCTTCACTCCCCTTGGGGAGATTATGGCATAATTTAATCCACCATCCCATTAACAATTCTTTTCCTACCCTCTGATCTAGCCTAAGTTTTTCTGTTGTGGTTTTATCCTCTTTACATCATACTATCCTAGAGGATTCCACTTTGTTTAGTAATTCCACCCTTTACTTAAACATGGCTTTCCAAAGTCATACAGGCCTTAGTGTTGTGGTTGTCAAAGCTAGAGGCTCCACAAGTTCTTGGAAACCTGGATCGTTGATTGTGTTGGCTAGGGCTGCCAGACCTTTAATCCAAGCATATTTAGGACCACGGCCTCAACAAATCCCTTAATTTCCTACTTTCTCTCCTTTGTCTACATCCAAATGAGCCTAGACACACACATACACACACACTATTATACAGATTTCAAATAATAGCTAGAACATTCATCTTCCCCAACTTGGTATCTTCCAAGTACTGTACAGTGGACTACAACTCACCTTGGCCCAAGACAACAGATCTGGAAGTTGAGGGAGATGGCCCCAAACCAGCCCCTCTGCCACCCGCCTCTCAGCAGGAAACAAGAGTCTGTCGGGTGTGGGATGGGGAGTAACCTTTCATCAGGTAACAATATCTTGATCATACTTTGTGATGTCACGTTTTGATGCAATGTCATCTTTATAAATACTGTATCTGGTATTTGTAAAGCATACAGTATTCCCCCCCCTCTAAACTGCAGCCATGAACACCTCAGCGGGGGAACTGCAGAATGTAGAGCTCCACATAATACATCAAACAAAAAATAAGAAAAGATCAAAGAAAAGCAATTCAAGAAAGAGGAATGAACTGGTTCCTCAATTTTTGTATTTGATGTAAAGGTAAAGGTTCCCCTTGACATTTTCAGTCCAGTCGTGCCCAACTTTAGGGGGCGGCGCTCATCCCGTTTTTCAAGCCGTAGAGCCAGCGCCTGTCCAAAGACAGTTTCCGTTGTCACGTGGCCAGTGTGACTAGGGAACGCCATTTTACCTTCCCACCGAGGTGGTACCTATTTATCTACTCACATTTACATGCTTTCGAACTGTTGGTTTGGCGAGGAGCTGGGACAAAGCGATGGGAGCTCACTCCGTTGTGTGGATTCGGTCTTACGACTGCTGGTCTTCTGACCCTGCAGCACAGGCTTCTGCGGTTTAGCCCACAGCGCCACCACGTCCCTTTGTTGTATCTGTTGTATTTGATGTTTTAAAATTATGCCTCCCATCAGCTGCAGGTAGCATAGCTAGTGTTGAGGAAGGATGGGAGTAGTAGTGCCACATCTAGAGGACCATGAAACAGGAGGTGGAGCCTTGTGATGTCATAGAGCAGCCATTCTTAGCCCTTTTTTTTAGCTACAGCCTGCATGTAACAGATGGAGCTCTCCTCAGGTTCCAGGGCCCCCTGTCAAATAATTATGCCTCCCATCAGCTGCAGGTAGCATAGCTAGTGTTGAGGAAGGATGGGAGTAGTAGTGCCACATCTAGAGGACCATGAAACAGGAGGTGGAGCCTTGTGATGTCATAGAGCAGCCATTCTTAGCCCTTTTTTTTAGCTACAGCCTGCATGTAACAGATGGAGCTCTCCTCAGGTTCCAGGACCCCCTGTCAAACTACATGAACGAATGAATAGAAAAACAGAATAGAACTGTGTGTGTTTTTCAGTCTGCGGCCCCTTTCAAATGTGCCCGGGCCCCTCAAAGGGCCATATGGCCCCCGTTGAGAATGGCTGTCCTAGAGGCAGGGCAAGCAAGGACTGGAAGAGAGGCACTCATGAATTTTCTGCCTCGTGTGTCCTAATAATTTAGTTGGTTTTAGGCATTATTGACTTAGATGTGTATGTCTGCAGTGAGCGGAGTACGATCTGCTTCTTTCCACAAGCACCAGAATTTCTGTAGAAAGGCAAAATACAATGGTAAGAGCAACAACTTCTTCTATCTGAAATGATACAGCTCATTCATGAGATTAGCATAACTCACAGCACATGGCAACAACAGCAAACACAAGCTGAACTTGCAGTGAATCTCTTCCCCCTGCCCACAACTGGATGAATGTTCTTGTACCCATCCACTGTTTCTTCTGACAAACACAGCATCTTAGACATGCATTTGTACAAAGAGTAGATGGTTATGCGGGACCCTCTGGGAACCACAGAGAAGTCCATCATGGTGTTCTTCCACAGACCCAGTTCTATATCAGGAGACACTAAGGAAACCGTTTGCTTTTTTTTTTCAATGAAAGACATGGAGGAGTGGGGGAAGCATGCAAAGAATTGAACAAGCTTCTGATGAAAACAGGCAAGGAAGGCCAGGAGAGATGTCATTTCGAAGGCATTCATCCGCTTTACTACATCCTGGTCTCCCTCGGAGAGTTGCAAAAGTGTAGCTGACGTTTCCAGCAAACCGGAGGTCTCTCTTTTATCTGTTTGTCTCCTGCTTTATTGCAACAGTGAATGAGAAATATATGTCAGAACCAGTTAGGAAACAAGTTTTGTTTCAAAAGCAGTCACATAGGCAGGCCAAGTTAAGATGGTCCCGTTAGCACTGAGGAAATCCATGTCATTTAAAGAAGCATGAGGTTCACAATGGGCACCCTTTCAAATGTCACTCCCATTGTTTTTCTGAAAGAGACTTTTTGCAACTGGAGGGTGACGCTGAAAGGACAGAGTGAAGAGGGTGAGGGTGGACATGCACCAGCTATCACTGTAGCTGCTTTTTCCCCACCCAAGTAAAGTTCTGTGGGGACATTTAGAGGCTTCTGCGGTTTAAGCTGCAGCAATGCTTAATCAGTTTGGTTGAGGGAAAGGGCTTAATTATATATATGTTTTTACATATCTGGAGAAATGGGGTTGGGTTTGAAGCTCTCTTGTTTTGGTTTAGCAGTGCATCCCTGAGATACGAGTACTAGAACGGGAAATAAACAGGAAAGAAAAAAGACTACCTTAAAGACTTCGAGATTTATTTCTGTGTAACTTTCATGAATTACAAACCACTTCCCCACATATGTGCGGACTCTAACAGTTATTTATTTATGAATAAATATTTAACAATAAAATAAGAATGTTTTTGTTGATATTAATATAACCCTAAGCACATAACTATTCGATTTATTATTAACAATTAATTAATTGAAACATAGATCACTAGGCCACGGGTTGATAAATGCAGAATATGTGACAAAAGGGTGAGGACCAAGTGACCAACAATGGCAGGCTATAGCCTTTGAAGTGTAGATGGAGATGTTGCCAAGAGGGTGCGCTGAGGTTAGAACTAGGTCAACCAAAACAACTTTTTGTCTCCAGCTCTATCCAGGACTGTAGATAAAACCTGATCATTAATACATGTGGGCTGAAACTGCAGGCGTCTGGAATTGCCAAAGGAAATTGCCAAAGGAAGTCTTTAATCAACAGTAATTTGCTGCCCCTGCTGAGGCCCTTTCCATTGTATATGTCAAGCCGCACAATAGGATTTCAGCCATAGTGTGCTAGGAATACCTGTTTTTCATTTCATCCTCTTGATAATGACATTGCCATTTTGCACGTCACTCCCCTTTTCCAGTTTTTCCTCTTTTTTTCATTGCAGAGGTTGAAAGATATTAACACTCTGAAAATTACTGAAACTGGAAGTTGAGTCGGGGCAACTGGACTTCTTTCTTATTGGGCTGAAATGTTTCGCTACTCTTCCAAGTAGCTTCTTCAGTCTGAGAGTTGGTAGGTGACCCCGGATAGATCCTCCACATTGGTTTCACTTCCCCCTGGTCTGAACAGGCTCCTTAGATGGACAGAGGATGGGGAGCTGAGTGAAAATCCCACCTCTGTGGTCCTTCTCCACCCATTGTCATGGATCATTAACAGTCGTTAGCAGTGGTCTTTCTGGTGGATGTGGTCCTGATCTTTCTTGGGGTAGATGCAACCCCAGCATTATAAAATACTGGAACCGAGGTTTCTTTCTCCGGGTGCACTTCTCCAACCACTTATTTCAGAACTGGCTTCAGTGAAACTATTCCCAGAGCTGATACACACAAACACACACACACACACACACACACACACACACAGAGAGAGAGAGAGAGAGAGAGAGAGAGAGAGAGAGAGATGGGCACCATTGACTTGCAGCAACATCAACCTGCTCTTAATATGTGTGAATGGGAATCAGACTGATGAGGACTCTGGAGACCACGGTTCGAATCCCCATTCAAAATGGAATGTCACTGGAGGAGCAGAAATGATACAACCACTCTTTAAATATCCCGATTACTTTGAAAACCCTAATGGGATTGCTGTATGTTGGTTCAGACTTGACAGTACATAACTAAGATTTACAAAAGAGCTACTGATGTTGATGAAGACCTGAACTAATTAGATAAACATGGATCAATCCACCCAACCTGCATTTTTGGGTATTTGTTTGGAGCCCCTATACTTTAACTTTTATCCCATTATTACTGATTGTAGCTTCTTTGGGACAGGTAATCATTACTGGCCTGCCGTGTTAACCATCCCTACTAGAGACACAATGACAATTAAACACTTCTGGGGACATTTACTGCAATTCCTAGCAACCTCCAGGCAGTGTGGCTACTGGGGAACTTCGGGAGTTTTAAATAAATATTTTCCCACCAAGGTGTGCAATAAAGATGCAGAAAGGTTCCTGGATAGACCTCCCTGGAAAAAGGAGTGTGGAAATACTACAAATATGGCTAAATGTGCAAATATTGATGCCCTGGATCAAACCCTCAATTGCCTCATTTGGCTTATATTTTTGTCCTACTGGCCAGCTTCATCTGTGCTTATAACGAGGAGCCTCTCAGGAAACAGAAAAGAAGCAACCCTAAATACATCCCATGAAGACGGCAGAAAACAAAGGGGTTCAAACTAAGCAGGACGATTGCCTCATTTGGCTTATATTTTTGTCCTACCGGCCAGCTTAGTGTGTGCTTATAACAAGGAAATAGAAAAGAAGCAACCCTAAATACATCCTATGAAGATGGCAGAAAAAAGGGGTTCAAACTAAGTGGAGCTTTTAAGAGTCAGTTCCTCAAACCTGGTTCGGTTTGGTTGTTGTGGGTTTTTCGGGCTCTTTGGCCGTCTTCCTGACGTTTCGCCAGTCTCTGTGGCTGGCATCTTCAGAGGGCTGGAGTAGGAACTCTGTCCATGCTCTAACGATAGTCCTCTGAAGATGCCAGCCACAGAGACTGGCAAAACGTCAGGAAGAACAACCTTCAGGATATGGCCAAAGAGCTTGAAAACCCACAACAACCATCAGATCCCAGCCATGAAAGCCTTCGAGGATACACTGGTCTGGTTTCTCCTGCACTGCATCAAAATCTAGGCATACATTCTTATCAAACAGAAACTGAAACCAAAGTCTCACCTATCCTCAGTTTTGAGAAGGTCAGCCTCACAAGCGATTGCCTGGATCTCCTTGGAGACACCTTCTCCACCTTTTGGCCCAATCTGAGGCAACCCTCTCCTTTAAATGGCTCAGAAAACAGACAAGAGGAATACAGGTCTGCTTTGTTAACATACTATCTCCACACGTGGGGA